AGGCGGGCAGGTGCAAGCTATCCTGTCCCCAGCAGTCTGGTGAGAGGTGGCTGCTCGTGGCACTCGTCGTGCAACTCATGAGATCCGTCGTGCTGCCCGTGGCATCCGCCGTGGTATCCGCAGTGCTGTTCATGGTAGCTGCCACGCTGCGCGTGGAACTCGTCCCAAAGCTCATGGTGTCCGTCGCGCTGCTCGTGGTACCCGTCGTGCGGAGCTGAGCTGGAGTTGGAGTCAGTGTCAGAATTCGCGCGGCCACGGAGCAAGAGTGTCCCCGGCAGTCTGGTGAGAGGTGGCTGCTAGTGGCACTCGTCGTGCAACTCATGGGATCTATCGTGCTGCCCGTGGTATCCGCCGTGGTATCCGCTGTGCTGCTCATGGCTGGCACTCGTCCGAAAGCTCATGGTGCCCGTCGTGCCGCTCGTGGCACCCGTCGTCTTAGTGGAGCTGGAATCGGAGTCGCGGTCACGAAGCAAGAGTGTCCTCGGATCTCGGATCTGCTGTCAGATCTGGCGCTGGAGCCAGTGCATGGGTCCGAGCCGGACTTGGCGTCGTGGCCGTGGAGGTGTTGCCCCGAAACGTGGAGCCCGTGCACGGCGTCGGAGTTGGCGTGCTGCTGCTACAACTGCAACTGCTGCTGCTGTTGCAACTTGGCTGCGCCGTGAAGTCGCGGGCCTGTGGCCAGGCGCCGGGCGCGGGCCGGCGCGCCTGGTTCGGGGACAAGCCGCCTCGCGGCCGCGCCTGGCTCCCCCAACCCCTAAATTGACATGTGGAACCGCCCTATCCGATAAGACGCCAGGGCCGATATGACGCCGGGGCCCGCCATCGCACAACCAATGGGCGCTCAAGAGACCCCTAGGTGCCCCGCTGACCGATGCCTCTGGGGCCTCCAAGAAGCTCCCGCGGAGCCCCCCAGAGGCCCCAAGATAAGCTTCTTGTCCACGACCCTGGCGCGGCGGCGGGGTCAACCTAAACCCACTAGATCCGCTGCCCCCGTAGACTTTCAAGACGGGCGTTGGCGAGCCAGGCTTTGTCCCAACCATCTTGTGTTGGGTCCCCGCTTTGGGTGAGTAGCGCCCCGCGTCGCCTCTCCTCTTCCTCCTCTTCTACTTCCCCCATCCAGCCCTCCTCCAATCCTTGCCTCTGCCCTTTGCCCTCCTCACTATTCGTGGTACCACTCACGCGCTTCGCGGCCCCATAGAGAGCTCCACTTGGGGGCCCAGTGGCAACGTATGCGGACCACCGCCCATGTCGGCACACCCCTCAGACGTCTCTTGTACCCATGGGGAGATCCATCTGAAGTTCCAGTGGCAACGTTCGCACGGGGGCACATGCCCATTTCGGAACACCCCTCACGCGCTTCGTGCCCACATAGGAAGCTCCACATAAGGTATCACTGGCGCCATTCGCATGCGGCCCCCGCCCATTTTGGCACACCCCTCACACGCCTCGTGTCCCCACGGGGAGACTTACGTAAGGCCTTAGCGCCGATGTTCGCACGCGGACCCCCGCCCATTTCGACACACCCCTCGCGCGTTCCGTGGCCCCATATGGGGGCTCCACCGAAAGCCCCAGTGGCGATGTTCGCAGGTGGCTCCCCGCCCATTTCGGCGCGCTCCTCCCGCACTTCGTGGCCCCATAGGGAGCTCCCCTTAACGCCCCAGCCGCGATGTTCACATGCGGTCCCCAGCTCATTTCGGCACACACCCCTCACGCGCTCCGTGGTCCCGTAGGAAGGTCCACCGAAGACCCAACCGGCGACATCCGCATGCGACCCCCCCCATGTTGGCATACGCCTCACACGTTGAGCGGCCAATAGGGCGCCTCACCTGAGGCCCCGGTGGCGACGTTCGCACGCCGAGCCCCACCCATGTCGGCACGCCCCTCGCATGCATCGCGGCCCCACAGGGAGCCTACGGCTCCGGCGGCGACATTCGCATGCGGAGCCCTGCCCATTTCGGCACACTCCTCACGCGTTCCGTTTCCCCATAGAGGGCTCCACTTAATGCCCCAGCGGCGACATTCGCACGCGAACCCCGCCAATTTCGGGACACCCCTCACGCGCTTCATGGCCCATAAGGAGTTTTACCGAATGCCCCAGTGGCGACGTTCGCGCCGGGGCCCCCGCCCATGACGGCGCACCCTCACACGTTTCGCAGCCCCATAGCGAGCTCCACCGACGGCCCCGCTAGCGACATTCACTTGCGGACCCCCGCTTATTTTGGCACACCGCCCACACGTTTCGTGGCCCAGTATGGGCTTCCACTTCAGGCTTCCACTTCCACACCGCCCCAACCTTTTCTAGCGCACCCTCGCGCGCTTCGCGGCCCCATACGGAGCTCCATCTAAGCCCCTGCGGTGACGTTCGTGTTCGCACCCCCGCCCATTTCCGCGCACACCTCGCACGCTTCGTTGTCCCATGGGGAGCTCCATCTGAGGCCCCAATCGCGACGCCCGCGTGAGGACCGCCGCCTCTTTCTGCACATCTCTCGCACGTTCGCGGCTCCATAGGGCGCTCCAACAAAGGCCTTAGGGGCGACGTCTGCATGCGGACCCCACCCAATGCCAGCGCACCACTTACAAGTTTCGTGGCCCTCCAGGGTGCTCCACCTAAGGCAACAGTGATGACTGTCGCACGCGGGCCCCCCCGCGCATTTCGGCACGTTCCCTCCCACGCTCCGCGGCCCCATCGGGACATCCGCGCAAGGCCCCAGTGGCGACGTTCGCGTACAGATCCCCGCCCCACGCTTCGTGGCCCCAAAGGGAGCTTCGTCTGAGCTTCAGGGGCGACGTTCGCGCGCGCCGCACAATTGGGGCACGCCGCTCGCGCGCTTCGTAGCCTCATGGGAAGTTCCACCGAATGCCTCGGTGGCGACGTTCGCGCGGGGGCCCCATCAATATCGGTGCACCCGTCGCGCGCTCCATGGCCCCAGGGGGGGCCCCACCGCAAGCCCAGTGGCGATGCTCGCACGTGGCTCCCCGTCCATTTCGGCGCGCTCCTCGCGCGCTCCGTGGCCCCGTTTGGAGCTCCACCTAATGTTCCAACGACGATGTTCGCACGCGGACCCCCGCCTGATGACTTCTCAACCAATGGTTCTGCAGGGGGCAATTTGCAATATACTGGAGAGGGATGACCCCATCTCCCTCCCCCCCTCCCCCTTTCCCCCCCCCTCACCCCCTTCCCCCCTCCTCCCCTGCCCCCGTGATGGGGGAGGCACAGGAAGCGCGGGGGCGAGCGGTCGGGCGGGAGGGGCTAGGAGGAGGAGGAGGAGGAGAAGGAGGAGGAGGAGGAATGTGGGAGGAGAGAAGGCGAGGGCCACCAAGAGTGCATCAGCTTGTCCTCCCCTTGCCCCTCCCCCCATCACCACCGTCATCATCGCCGCCACCACCATCGCCATCGCCATCATCAGCATAATCAGAATCACCAGCATTAAAAACCAAACTCATCATCATCATCATCGTCATCATCATCACCATCGCCGTCATCGTCGCCAGCACCTCAACGACATAGCAACACCACCGTCGTCGCCATAGCCAAGATCAGGATTACAAGAATCACCATCACCACCGCAAAAAAACACACACACACAGCAACCACTAACCACCTAACCACAACCACCATCATCCGCATCGTAATAATCGGCAGCATCTTCGTCGTCGTCATCATCATCACCAGCATCATCATCATCATCATCATCATCATCATCATCATCATCATCATCATCATCATCATCATCATCCCCCCCCTCCTCTCCCCCTGCCCCCCCCCCCCCCCCCCCCCGAAGAACGCCGCCGTGACACCGTGACATCCGAGAACCTTCGGACTTTCGACAATCCAAAATAACTCCCCTCAAAACCTCCTCCTCCTCCTCCTCCTCCTTCTCCCCCTCCTCCGCCCCCTCCTCCTCATCCTCCCCCTTCCTCCCCCCCTCCCGCTTTGCAGCTTTTGCAAAAAACGCCGCGGCCGCGACGCCGCGACCTCGCTCATCTGCTTCGCTGCTCCGCCGCGACGCGGCGCCCGGCGCTGGGGCCCGACGCGGCGCCCGACGCCGCGCTCGCGCCGCCAGGGCCCCCACTCTCCCCTCCCCACCCCCCCCCCGCCTCCTCATCCCCCTCCCCCCCCCTCCTCCTGCCCCCCCTCCTCTCCCCCCTCCCCCTCCTCTTCCTTCTCGCCCCTGGTTCCTCGCTCCTTCCTAGACTCCTGACTCCTGCGCCCTTCCTTCTCATCCCTCCTTCTTCATCCACCTCCTCCCCCTCCGTCTCCTCCTCCTCCTCCTCTCCTCGACTCCTCCTCCTCTCCCTCGCCCCTCCACCTATATTCCGCATCCACGAAGGCCCAGGCAAGGCGGTGGAAGGGGGGGGGGGGAACTGATGAGACGGGCCAGACTGACCCAGGCGGGAAAGAGGGATGCGCGCCGGGCGGAGGAGGAGGAGGATAACGAAGAGGATGAGAACAAGTCGCAGGCGGAGGGAGGGGCCATATTAGATGAGGCGGGAGAGCAGGATGCGAGGGGGGAGCAGGAGGAGGACGGGGGGCGGGAGGATGAGGAGGAGCAGGGGGAGGAAGTGGAGGAAGATGAGGAAAAGGAGAGGCCGCGGCAGCGATGGCGGCCGCCGCCGCGCAGCCGCTGCGCCGCTCAGGCTGAGCGGCGCTCAGCGGTGGATCCACGCGCGGACTTGCCTGGGAGGAGTCGGAGTCCCGAGGGGAACGGATTAGCATGGGGGCGGGAGTGGGGCGGCCAGGAAAGAGCGGAAGGAAAGGATTGAGGCATGCACCAGGGGATGGAGTCGCACCCCTTCCTACCCGTGCTTCGACTCCTCTACCTTCTCCCCCAACCTCCTCCTCGTCTTGTCGCCTTACATCCCCCTCCGCCTCCCCCGCCTCATCTTTGCCTTCGCCCCCCCTCCTCGTACTGCTCCTCGCCGCCGCCCCTCTCCATATTCCCTCCCCCCTCCTCCTCTTTGCCCTCTCTCCTCCCCGCCATTGCCACTGCCCCTGGCACTTCGTCTTCTGGAGCTTGCTCAGCTCGACCTGGCCCCACGCCGGCGGCCCCCTGAAGAGCATGTCCTCGGGGCGGGGGGAGGGGCGAGGACAGACTTGCCATGCCAAGTGCTACGACAGCAACGCAATGGCAACGACATCGCTACTACGACAGCAGCGCAACAACTACTACGACAACAATGCGATAACTACTATGACAGCAATGCAAGACTGACACGACTACGCTACAGAAGCGGGGAGCGAAAACTATAACTAGTACAGCAGCAATGCGATGACAATGACAACGCTAACAAGGCAAAACTACTACGGCAGCAACTCAATGAGTAATACGGTAGCAATGCAACGCAATTCAACACAACACAACAACACAATAGCTACAATGGCAGCAACGCAATCACAATGCAATGCAATGACAACTCTGTCACTAGATCTGCTCTCTCTCATTCTCTCATTCTCTCATTCTCTCATTCTCTCTCTCTCTCTCTCTCTGGTCTCCCTATCTCTTTCTATCTCATTCCCCCTCTCCCCCCGCTGCCGCGATGGCGGCCGCCGCGCGGCCTCTGCGGGCGAGGTGCCACGGGCGCGGGCAGCGGGAGGTCAGGGGGAGGACGAGGCGGAGGGAGAGGGCGAGGTGGGGGAAGAGGGCGATGAGGACAAGGTGGAGGAAGCATGGAGGCGGCCATGAGGAGGACGAGGTGAACTGGAGGAAGATAATAGCGGAAGGTTTGGGCGGACCATCGGGCTGCGGCTGCGCTTCCGGCCGCCTCCGCCGCGGAGCCCCTTCGCAGCCTCACAGCGGGCCCTGGGTGGCCGCCGCCGCTGCGGCCGCGTTCTGGGGGGGCGCCGCCGCCGCGGCCGCCGCGTCGCCCGCCGCGGCGTAGTCGTCGTTGCCCACCGCGTCCCCCATCGGACTCCTCGTCGTCCACGTCCGAGCTGAGGGCGTTTGCGTTGGAGGAGAAGGAGGAGGAGGAGGAGGAAGAGGATAAGGGGGAAGAGGAAAGGAGGACTCGAAAGAGAGGGGGGGGGATGAGGAGGAGGAGGGAGGAGGAGGAGGAGGAGGAGGAGGAGGAGAGGAGGGGGAGGAGGGGGAGAGGAGGAGGAGGGGAGGAGGAAGCAGTCGGGGGAGGGGGAGGGAGGGGATGGGGAGGGGAAGGTGCTGGGAGGACGAGGTGGAGGAGGCCTGGCACCAACGGCATCGATGGCGTCGAACAGGGCCTGCTCGCGATCGTCGGATGTCTTGGCCTTGCTGCCCAGATCCCTGCAGAGAAGGGGGGGGGGGGGGGGGGGGGGGGGGTGGGGGGGAGGGGGGGGGGGGCGAGGGAGGGGAGGGCGAGAGATGTGGGGAGGGGGAACGAGGAGAAGAGGGGAGAAAAGAATTGGGTGGAGAGGGTGAAGGGGAGAAGGTGGGGGAGGATTGAGGGGGAGGGTGAGGCGAGGAGGAGGAGGGAGGAAGGTAGGAGGAGGAAGGAGGAAGGAGGAGGGGAGGAGGAAGGGAGGTCGGAGGCGGTGGGGAGGGTGGAGGAGGTTAGGAGAAGTAGCTGGAGGGCCCAGAAGTGCTCCAGTAGTCTCAGCCTGCTGGGCGAGATCGTTCGCGGACTTGATGGCGCTGTCCAACGCTTGCATCTCCAAGGTCCGGGCCTCCCTCCCCCCCCTCCCCTCGCATCCCCGTGCCCCCATCCCCCCCCCGTTCCCGTTCCCTTCCCCTCGCCTCCCCCCGTTCCCCCCCCTAGTTCGCTGCCCCCCCTCTTTCCCTGTCCCTTGCCACCCCCCTTTCCCCACCCCTCGCCTCCCCCCCTCCCTAGTCTCCATCTCCCCAGGCCCATCCCCTCCGAGTGGTAGAGCTGCCGAAGATCCTCTATCGTCGGCGCTGCCTTCTGCTCTGATACCGAAGACGATGGCGCTGGTGCTGATGATGATGCCGCTGCTACTGACTGGATGTGCTGCGGCCGCGACGTCGGCCGCGGCTTGGACGGCGGGGCGGCGGTGGACTCGGCGAACTTGTTGTAGTAGCCCTTGTCCTCGCCCTTGCCGCCCTTGCCGCCCTCGCCCTTGAACTCGGCGAACTTGTTGTAGTCGCCCTTGCCGCCCTCGCCCTCGCGGCCGTCGCCCTTGCCGCCCTCGCCCTTGTCGCCCTTGCCGCCCTTGCCGCCGTCGCCGTCGCCCTTGCCGCCCTCGCCGCCGACGCTCTCGAAGTTCTTGACCTTCTTGCGGGGCGGCCGCACGACTCGCGGCCGCGGCTCCTGCTGCGGCTGATCGGCGAGCAGCTGCGGCGGAGGAGGCTCCGCGGGCTGGTGGGGCACCAGCACTGGCGGTGACCATGGCTGCGGCCCCTCTGCCTGCGGAGGCGGCGGAGGCGGAGCCCCCGATGCCGGAGGCGGCGGAGGCTGCATCCTTGGCGGCGCCATCGGGCTCATTCAAGGACGCCGCGACGCCGCGCCCCAGCAAGCTCGAGCCGAGCCAGGCTCGACGATCTTGCTTGATCCAAAACCGCTACGGAAGACAGGGCGACCCTTGAGGCCCTCCCCTTCCATCGGGCCCTGGGCCCCCCCTCTCCAGGCCCCCCCCCTGGGGCCTCGGTCTCTATCCCATAGCTAAGCCCCCGCAACAGCTTCACTGCGATTGAATTTCCACCCCAACTTTGACAGCACCTTCACTGGGATAGAGGTCTCTATTCCATACTGAACCCGCGGGCAGTCGGACTCGCTCGCGACGATGAGCAGATCCAGATCCTCATTGCCTCCTCTCCCTCCTCCTCCGCCTCCTCCTCCTCCTCCTCCGCCTCCTCCTCCTCCTCCTCCTCCCTTACCCGCCAACTGCGGCCCAATCAAGGCGCCAGAGATTCCACGGTGGAAGGCGCCCGATGCCCTGGGCGGCGCGGCGCCCTGCTCTGGCGGGACGTTGCCGAGCTCGCGGAGCCACGGGGCCTCGTAGAAAAACCTGACACCCGCTCTGCTGCGAAGAAGCCACTCCCTTTGGCCTCGCACCCCCCTTCGCCTCCAACCAGGGTACTTGCAGCGACGTGCTCAGTCGTTCTGCTTTGCACTTCCAGGCGCTGAATGCGAGTCCACTTCCCTAGCCCCCCCCCCACCCCCACCCACCCCCACCCCAGTTTAGATGATGCTGGCAGGCTGGAATGGGATGGGAGAGAGGGTCACAGTTCACATATATATATATATATATACATACATGCATACATACATACATACAAACATACACACATACTTATATACATATATATTTATACAGATACATATATATATATATATATTCCTCCTCCTCCTTCTCCCCCCCCCCTCCCCCTCGCCCATCCTATCCTATCTCTGGCACTTCCTCTTCTCACTCCTATTCTAGCGGCGCCTCGTCCCAACATATCCCCCTATCCATCTTGAGCTTGAGCCCCTCGCCACTACTGGCCCCACGAAGTCCCCCCAAACATCGAATCCAAACTAGCAGATCGATTGATAGATACTGTGCTGCCTCTCGGCCATGACCCCTGCCCCCCCTCCCCGCAATTTGTCCTCGTCCTCGGTGGCAATGCAGATCGCCAGGAGCTTGTAGAATACCGCATGCGTGCTCACCGCCGCCCTCAGCGCCTTCTCTTTGTCCGAAACCTTGCGCTGCTTCCTCTTCTTGCCCTGGTTCCCCTCCTCGTCCTGCCCCCCGGCCCTCAGGCGCTGGCCATGCGCGCGGCGCCGACGCCGCTGCAGGCAGCCCAGGGGGGGGGGGGGGCAGTGAATCCGCAACGCAGGGAGATGAGAGGAAAGGAGAAAACTATGGAAGCGCATATGCGCGAAGTTCGAACCACAGGACCAAAGACCAGGAGGGGCGGGCGGAGGGTGGAGCGAGGAGGGGTCGCATTGAGGAGGGGGGGGTGGGGGGGGGGGAGGGGGGGGGGCTGCTACCAACGTGGCACCTGCGCGCCCTCCCCCCCCATCCTGCTCATCGTCGTCTTGTGGCTTCACCTTCCTCGGCTGCACCAGCCAGGGGAAAGAGAAGTCCGACCTCGATGGGCTAGCGTAGCTCGAGCCATCCAAGTACAGGATCGGGCCAAGGTCGGAGTGCTCCTCGCATAGCGCCTGCCCCCATACGGGCGCCGCGCACCCCCTTGCGCCTGCCCGCGCCAATTCCGAAACAGCGGAGTGCAGACAAAGGTCCTAGGCTATAGCGCGTGCAACGTCATACTCACATGACACATGGGCATCAACTGGCGATCACCCCTAGGGCGCGCACAAGAGAGAGAGGGTGCGCGACATTAGTGTGAAAGAGAGGGGGAGAGAGAGAGAGAGAGAGAGAAACAGAAAAGAGAGAGAGAGAGAGAGAGAGAGAGGAGAGATAGAGAAGAGAGAGAGGAGAGAGGAGAGAGAGAGGAGAGAAGAGAGAGAGCGAGAGCGAGAGAGAGAGAGAGAGAGAGAGAGGAGAGAAGAAAAAAAAAAAAAAAAACAAAAAAAAAAAGTGAAATACACATATATATATATATATAAACAGTGGCATGCATAGAGAGAGCGGCGCGCACCCCCACCCACCCCGCCCGCCAAGAACTCGGCCACGTCGGCTTCTGCATCTGGGGGCTCACCGCCATCATCATGATCGTCTTTAGCATCATCAGGGCTTTTGTCCTGTAGAGGACGTGGCGCGGCACTTTCGGGGGGGTCGCCATCGGCATCGGACTCGAAAAGACCCTCGTCGAAGAGCCCCCGACCCATCTGCTGCAAGTCAGAGTCAGGGTCGAGCCAGAGAGCCCGCAGCATGTCAGACGAGTCGGTCCGGAGCGTCCTGCCAGCGAGGGCAGCTTGGATCTTGCCCGACTCCCTGAGCTCATCCCAGCCCGCGTGCTTCTTCGCATCAACCGCTGAGATCGGATTCAATGGCATCAGGTATTGCTTGTTCAGGTTCCTCGCCACGGATGCGTCCACGACCTTTCCGCAGCACGGCAGCTCAGTCAGCTTGGAATCCACCGCGGGCTTCCTGCAACTGAGCTGGCGGGAGGAGTAGGGGCGATAGAGCGATGCTCGATTGGTCCGGGACCATTCGGGCAATGACACGCAGTTACGAGGCGG